ATAAATAAACATAACGTGTCTTGTGTCTATAAATTATATAAATGTAATACATGATAATATAACAGAGGTATTCAAACTGTGGCTCCTATAAGGACGTCGCTGAAGTTGTAGAAGGGAGCTGCGATAAAAGACCGGAAACTAAATTAATAGGAAATTACGACGACGACGACGACTACGATAGACTAAGAATAAACACAGAATTGCCCAACAAAGATGTGAAAAATGTATGTTGTCTTTTGCTACTTCATACCTATAAAGTGAGACTGGCTTTTCTGCGTTGACAGTAATTAAAACAAAATATCGGCCGAAAGTGAACATTGTGAAGGAATTGAAATAGCTATTTCTAAAATAGAACTAAGATTTGAACATCCTACGAAACATAAACAAGATCACCCATCCCACTAAATATTAATTTAAGACTTTTCATTTCGATTTTTCCATATAACCTATTTATTTGTGAAGTGTTTTAAGTACACGGTTGTGTGATAAATAAACGAATATTAATACATCATAAATGAACCCCCTATTTGAGATAAGACGTAAGTCAATAAAAGGTAATTCAGAGTTCAGAGGAAACAAGAAAAACTGTTTTTATATTCTACTAGTGATACATAGTTATTTCTCTTTCATACTGATTATTTACAGTGGCAAAATTAAATATTTTTTTGCAAATGTTCACACATGATCCGTCTATCATTTGATAACACATTCCACTCAATATCTCAATTTGTGATGTCTTGTGACATACATCGTATCTCAAATAGGTGGTTCAAATGTAGTAGGTACCATTGTTTTTTGTCATTACTAATTTGGGAGGCGTCAAAATATTGTGAAGACATAAAGGAGCCGTGTTTGGAAAAAGTTTGAACCCCTCTGTGATACAATATGTAGGTATCAGTGCGCAAATTAGTTTTTTAGTTTTAAGTGAACGCAATTTATTTGTTAATTCATTATTTTCTACTCTATAATCGGGCAATTTATACGTTAACCACGACTAAGTTGGCGAAACACTTTGATGAGTATACAATTTATAAATTTATAATATTATTACTTGTGTGTGTGTGTGTGTGTGTGTGTGTGTGTGTGTGTGTGTGTGTGTGTGTGTGTGTGTGTGTGTGTGTGTGTATATACATAATATATGTGCATATCACCTACGATTGCGAACGATGAGAATATTAATAAAATGCGATTATTTTCCTGTTTTAGTTCAGCGGCGGTGGCGCCTCGCTGTCTGTAGGTATTCACGTGTGGTGTGTAAAAAGTTTAACGAGTGTTGTGATAAATTAACGCTCGAAAAGCTCTACATTTACGTTATACACCTACGAGTTATTATCTTTCTTAATATTCGTAAAGGAATTCAAGTCGATCATAATATGCATTATTATATTATAGCTACTTTAGCCGTTATACTTGAGACGGGTAATCGGATGGTGTATTAAAGTGAGTAAAATATTAAAGCGTGAGTCGTGAGTTATTTATTTATTCGAGTGAGTCTTAAAGAAGACTATTTACTTTAATAATAATAATGATGTTTATATTATTTTGCAAGAAAATTCATACTGGTACAGCGAATAGGTAGTATTCGACACAATATGGATGCATATAACAATGACGAATCAAATAAAATAAATAAAGATATTGATGCGGGTTTAGTAAATCATAATTTGAAAACCCTCCGATAAGCTGAGTCTGTGTCATAAAGGGTTTGAAAGAGACTTTGCAATATTTGTCTTATAACTTATACTATTTATAGATATAAATAATGGTATTTCAATATTTTTTTAATTCACATGTTGTAAGCATAACTTTAAATTGTTTGCATTATAAAAGTAAAATATATTTGTATTAAGAATCCTACTTAAATTAATAGAAATCAATTTTTTTGTTCCAAACTGCTAATTATGTATTTTAGACGTTTTCTTTATACCTAGTTTAATATTCATGAGTGACATTTGAAAATACATTGTGTCTATACTTAAGCTTAATCAGAGAATTACTGTAAACTAGCTATATATTGTTTGGAAACCGTCTGATTTGGATAATATTATGGTGTAAAAAAATCCGACCATCTTATGGAAATATGAAAAACTATACTCGAGATCGTCTGATGAAAAAATACCGTCAACTAACTTGAACTCCCCGAAGAAGGGACGGTTTTTAAATTCACTCTTCTCGCCACCACACTTTTAACTTCCGTCATAAATACCAACGCTTTCGTCGATATGGCAGGCTCCAAACACGAGGTGGCTGATTTGTTCCTAACGTGTGTGTATAATATATATACTCTGCAAAACCTGAAAATTTGTTCTGGACACATTCCAACAATCTATTTGCGCACGTAATAAATTTGGTGACCAAACCACTGGGTCAGTGGTCGGGAATCGATCGAGCTGTACTATTGGGACACAATGCCAGAGGAGCCAGCCAAGCGGAATCGAAATTACATATTTGTGCTGCGCATTTTTACACAAGTTACATAAAAAAAAAAATATATATAGTGTTTGATGCAGAGAGGACAGACGGAGAACAAACATAATAGAATGCTAAAAGTCCCGGATCAACTGCAGTCCGATATATTATTATGCAAATTACGAATACATCGCGTCGTGACACAAGTAGTAGGGCTATTAACTTGGCACACGACATGTGTACGGATTCACTCGATAAGCCTATACAAAATCATGTACCTAAGTATAAAAAAAGTATATTATTATGATCACCTATGACCAAAATTATTATTATTATTAGATGTTCGACGACGGTGCCGCACTTGTATCGCGACCGCATAGTAAAGAATTGAAAGCTGCGCGATTGGAGCGTTATAGGTACTATAAATAATAGAAATCCTATCACCAATCCCTGCAACCGTGGTCAGCGAACAGTCGGGCAGTTGACGCGGAGTCACATTTAGCTATTGTTTATACCTAATGGGCATATTATATAGCGATAGCGTGTGTAAATAGAAAAATATCGAACAAAATAATATTATATATACAAGTAAAAAAGACAAAGGAGTCCGCTTCGAAGTAGGTACCGTCGTAGTTAAATGAGGGAGAGGGGGTTGGAAAAATGAAACATCCTCGAAACCAGGTTTTCGCGGTCACCGACAATAGAGACCAAACGTCAACGCCTCGTGTAAGATGTCTAAGGAATATTCTGTTATTTTCGCACTGCAAGTACTTCACGTATATCAGAATACTGGTGTGAAATTGTTGCAAAAACGACCTTTTCCACATAAATCTGAATAAATCGTACGTTCTAAGGATCGAAGTAAACATACAATTATACAATCTATGATGAAAAAATAAAATAATTTCAACCATTTTTAGTATGAATTTTTTTTACGTTTTGTATTTCATAACGAAGAATACTTTTCAAAAATTGTTGATGTCGAATATCGGAGGAAAAGTTTTTTTTTATTAATAAGCGTTTTAAGTTTAGGCGAGCGGAGCAAAATGACAAAGTGGGGGCTTCACTGCCGGGCTGGAAACGTTGTGGTTCACTACTCCGCTCATCAAAACTTTAATTGCTTATTAATTAAAAACTTATTTGTTCAACTACAATCGATGTATATATATTATGGTTGTTGGTAAACAATTTTTCTTAATAAAAAATTATCTTGCTTTCGGTTGTATGAAAGTGAGAGTAAAAGGGACGTTTAAAAAACTAGAATTAAACAACTTAAAAATAACCATTATAAAAATAACCAATTTTGTGAGATTTATAATTGGTCTCTGCAGTAGAGTTCTGTAGCACTGATTTTCGGACACTTTGTGAATAATATTGTATTATTATGTAAATAATTCCGTATTAACCGAATATAATTCAAACAATAATTATGCGACTGGAGAGGCCATATTATCTATCGGTGAAATAGTATTAGAATAATACGTAATAAGTAATAACTATCGTCGAGTCCCATGCGCAACAAATGGTTGGCCGATGACCAATATTATTAATCTGTCGGTCTGTACGACCGTCGCCGCGCGTTATAGCGATGTTAAATATTGACGACCGTAACAATGCATGCATTGAAATATACAAAATTATTTCGTACGACGTAGTTTATTATTATCATTGTATTGTATTGCTGATCCTTCAAATACATTGTATAGCATAGTATTGTATGGGATACCATGGATACCATTAAACGCCGTTTAAACATTAAATACAATACATCGGTAATACAATTAGTCGTTACCTATAATAGGCTTATAAAAAAACATTCACTGTTGCCGCTGAATAATATTTTTGATAAACGCCTGAGATTTTGTGATTCATCGGCCGACAACGAAAATGACACTGTCCACCCAAATAGTATCGATGATGTATAACAATTATTATTGTTGTGACTAAACTTTGTGCTCATTATGCGTGATATCCCATCCGCTTATACCCCTCTCTGTTGGTTGTTTAATTGGTACCTACATATTCACTACCGCCTAATGTATGTTTGCAGATCGGTCAGTTGCGCTAATGACTTTAATTTCCATAACAGTTAATAAAATAATATACACTCGACCTTAAAATCGTAGAACTCAATACGCGAAACCCGAGAATCCTCATTTCTACAGTCATAAGTACTCGTACAATACGAGCAGGCATAATAATATGTGAATTTGTGTGTCGCGTCAAAAGCAATAGTTATGCGGAAGGTACCTTCTCGCCCGTCTCAAACGATTAGATTATTCGGGGCCAACATGGACGATGTTCGATTCTGTTTATTCATCGAACGCATAAAGTGTCGACAAAGTTTCCGTCTCGCGAACCAAAACCATATCTGCAGGTTATGAACCTTATAATTATTTGTTCTATGTACGGCAGTGAAATTCATTTCGGCATTATTGAAATATGCTACACGCGTAGGAGTATAATACTAGTCAGAGCGCAATGGCAGAGAATTCTGCACTCCGTGCGCTAAGCGAAAATGCCGTTTATTGTTTCACGCGAACATAACGCACAGCGTATTGTCTTAAAATACAAACACGGAAAACACTTACGTGAACAATATGGCGGTTCGTCTGATTTGTCACCACAGTCATCGTTACCGTTGCAGAATTTGTCCAAGGCCACACAATAGCCCGTATCGCACATAAACTCGGACAACTGACAGCCGAAACCATAATTGATCATGCCCAGCACACCGCACAGCAGTATAAATCTTTGCAATTGCATTGTGGCCTGGAAGCAAATAAAAATCAATCAATTAGATATTATTGTAATATCGCTCATAATTATATCTGTACTTTTTTTTATTTGTTTATTATTATTATTTTTTTTTTTTTAATAATATCACGCACGGCAGTTAATATTGTATCGGAGGAAATCTAATATTTGACAGTTGTATTATGACTTACGGTGCGAAATATTACATTACGATAAAAATGATTTTATTCGAAACGTTAAAATCAACAATTTAAGAGTCCGCGGTATTATAGGGGGAAATGCCGCTAGACTGCAGCTGCAGCAGCTATAGCATGTCGGAAATTAAACATTTAAAGAATCGTTTCACGCGATATGAAAAGCAGCAATATCCAGGCTATAAATCAAGAGCCGAGCTTTTAAAACGTCAAGCAATTCGGTCAAGTTCGGTAAAACTTTTTTTTACGATCAATGAACACCTGTTGTATAGACAATCATCACAAAAGGCCGAATATCTTTAAACATTAAACAACAGTGATTAAAGGCGCGTTTTCTATATACTTTATAAGCATATAGTCCGAACACCGTGGGGACGGACAAAGAAATGCAAATATATGAATACTTTCAACCTTCATTATCATTTCCAGTGCAAATAGGTAAACAACCAACAGCTGGCCAAATTTATTTAATTTGCACAAATTAGCATAAAACGTCACTGTATAAACTATGCTACACTTCTTATTCGTTTCTCTTATTTATTTAATCTGCTTAAAATATTGTGGCATCGCGTCTTTTTTATTACTTATTATTACTACTGTTGTTTAGATTGTTCAATAATATTATGTATATTATTAAAACGCACCTTAATACAATATAATAACATGCATATCAAATGTTATATCACATGATGTGGTCCGTATTATAATAATGACTTAAATATGAGTAGACGCTTTTCATTTGTTATTATTAAGAACGAATACCTCCTGTGAAGAAACTTATTAAATACAATATAATATGTCATATTATAGGGGTGGACACTCGTTTATTATTTTTTTTCTCGCGGAAAAGTGTGCTTATTTAAATATTCATCTCACTATTTTTACGCTATTTTCAAGTGCCAATAAATTCGAATTTCAATAGTCTATTCTCTTTTGATGTATTTTCAATAGAGACCGACCGTTACATAATATACCTTATTTCGTGTATTTATATATTTTATTCTGTATACCCTTGTCAATCCAAAAGTTCAATTTAGAATCTTTATTGCAAGTATCATTTGTTATTCGTATATTATATATACATTAGCCCTACTCGATTTTCACATTTATACATTTTCACTTGCGTTCAATATTTCAACAGAACCAACAACACAACGCTTATGTCATAATATATAACAATTCACCGGACACGTATAAGACGAGTTGTTATTAAATATATATCTGCCATGATTAAAATAAAAATAAAATACGTTCAATTGGAATCATAATACTACCGGCCGTATAAATAATTAATTTGTTAGGTATCGATCAAAAGTGTATAACAATACGACATAAATCATGTCTTTTTCGAGGCTTGCAAGTCGTAATGTCGTGACTAATTACAAAGGCTAATAATGGTGATAAATAAAATAATATGAAAAAGGATGTAGCCGACAAGAGAAATCGCATTGAAATATGAATGTTGTGACAGCGTCGAGATATAAATTATTAAATATATAACATAATAATATTATATAAATGGCGCGCAGTAGCAACTGCAAAACCTCATGAAAACATAATATTATTATACACACATCGTATATCGACTTTTGCACAATGTGCGTATTGTGACTTATAAGTCATCGTGATGATATGATGATGATGACGATAATAATAATAATAATAATAATAATAATAATAATAATAATAACAATAGTAATAACATACCTAATAACAATGATATAATAACGAGTGTGACACTTTATGCATCCATTGTATTATGACGTTGTAACCCGCGATATAAGGTTTTGATCATAATATTTTGTGTGTTAACAGTGCCCGCACGCGTATATACAAACATCATACTATTATGGCAGTTGATTTGTCAATTAACCCCGCGATGCGTCAATCTTTATTATTGCATTATCTGCGACGACTATTGGCATATTATATACATAATTTATATATTTTGATTTCGACACGATCTCAATTCTCACCCACGTCTTGTGTTTATAATTAGAGCCATACAACTCCACTTGAGCGGTTTCAGCGCAGCTCCGTTTTCTCTATGTCTGCGGGTGTGGGTGTGGGACGTGGGTGTGGGTGTGTGAAAAACGGCAGCGAAACATTATTTTGATCCTATATAGTGCTATAATACGCCGTCGTCATCGCGATCTTAACACCCTCTCGTCGTGGAACTTTGATCTCTACCCGGGGCGATATAGGCACCGTTTTCTCGTCTGACACTTGTATTGATCCTCTTTTTTAGCGCCAGTTCCCTATGTCATGTACTTGGGCAACTATTTCAATCTCCCGAAACCAACATCAATTAGGATTAAGTCATTGGTGAGCGTTACACGTTATAGACATCAACGAAAACGCTTTGACGATTCCGTCTGCTAATTGCGACGAGTAGACGTCTTGTACGCCGAAATTTAATTTAAAAACTCGCAGTACTTACGCGTTCTCGCAATAATCGTTACCTATAACGATGTACACTTTATCATAACCGTTAATTGCCGAGATGTTGTTGTTGATATAACAGACGCAGTCATAATATTGTAATATTATGTGATATTTTAATAAGCGTTACTCTGAACAATGCGTAAAATTAGACTTATTTTTACATTTATTTTTATTTCGCTTAAAATGTTTCGATAATAAAAGAAGACTGTTCGTATATTGTCTATGGCCCTAAAAATATTAGAGTGTAATATGCATTTTAACGTCCATGGTCCATCTGTTATTTAAATTAATTACTTAGGTACTGTACATAATAATATTGTTGTAGTAAAGAGTTCAACAATTTATTTTATGACACATTCATTTACATAAAAAGAACCCTTTTACCCTCAAATTGCAAATGAAATATTTGACTATAAAAAGTTAGTTTTAAGAATGAATATTAAATTTATTTTGTTTGGTTTATTTACAAATAATAACCCACGAGAGTTTAAAAAATGGGAAACGTTGCGAAAAAACAACACCGAATGATTGGCGGGTATGTTTTGCATTACACCGCGATTACACACGTGAAAGTAGAGGATTTGGTTGCGGTGATTCATTAGGCAAATCCCGAAACACTTTGGCGTACGGTGGTGTTACATATATTATGTTATACAGATATAATATTATATAATATATATCTCTTATATATCTTATTTATCTCTAACTTAAGCCACGGTTGGGGCCTGGCCGCCTACATCCTTACCGATGTGTTCCGTGTCAATAACGCGACTGCAGTATAGACTTCTCGGGGCCAAGGCCAAAATTTAAGAACCACTAACCATCGGGAACCATCGGAATTGAATTCATTTGTCTTGCTGTCGTTTGCTAACCTCGGCTGACAAATAATGCGTATGGAAATTAATGGAACGCCGGATTCCACATCTCCAAAGTGTATATTATATTATATCCCCGTCGATTGAACCTTTGTGGAATTTATCGTGCTCGATCCGGAGGGCATTACAAATGTGCGTATCAGTTACCCGCCCCCGCCCTCCATTTTAGAGCGCGGCAATGCAACCCCCTCACATTATCATCTCCGTCTCACAGACACCACCCCTTTATTCGCACGGCGAAAATCTCGTTTGAAAATTGACTCCCGGGCAACAGTTCCGGGATCGAATCAGTTGGATCCAAAGATTCGAGCGCTTGGAAATGTATCGCAAAATGATTCCTCGTCAATCTCGACGAGTTTTTGCCAAAGACACTCCTGCAGTCAAATGATATAAACCGATATTTCAACGACGATAGTATCGGATTCACTCGTACATAGTACCTATAGTTAAAGTGTTTCGTTGTGAGCACATGCACCCAAGCAGTATACATAATATTATTTTATACAAGTGTCATATTACATTATTATTAACTGTTAAGTTATAGGCGAGTTTAGGTGATATTATTTATATTTTCTACACCGACCGAGATTATTCCAAAATAAATCGCTTTTATCAATTACAATTTATAGGAATATGTTTCCTATTTTTTTCCCAGCTACATCTGAAAGACATATTTTTTTGTTGCTATAATTGCAGTGTTAAAAGTAATTTTACTTAGCATACAATATAATTTATACATAAAGATGTGAGTTACATAGTATATTGTATACAAGGTAGTAAGGTACAACATTATGTACCTAGCGATGCGTATAAACTTTTGAATTCGTTACATCCTTGTTCGACATAATACGCGTAGATACTGAAGCTTACGACTTAATAATATATATTATTTTACTCGACAAACATACACGTTGTTTGGTTTTCTTTAAGACGTTTATTTTAAAAAATAAAACGAGAGGAGACAGTTTTAAAAACTTGTACATTATTATAATAATATATCGACGTGAGCATATATAAGTACGTTTTGGTTATTCCCGTGTAATAAATTATACGCGTGTAGTACATATACGTAAATAAAAAAAATTATAATAAATAAATAACAGAAAAAAGTAGAAGCGTTGGAACTTAGAAGTTAAAGTAAAACAAAACAAAAAATAATACTGAAAAGTTTAAAAAAAAAAAAAACATTAGTTGTTTAAAATGATAAGTATATAACCGAGTGAGAAAAATATTTTAAAGTACATTCTGAGACCTTCTCTCGTTTTTATACTATTTACTTTAAAACTATTATTATTAATTTTATTCCTTTTCCTCCTCCTATGGCTATATCCGTTTTCGACAGAGTTATTTCAAAAAGTAACCGAACTATCGAAAGAGTTGACGAAATTTATAGAAGAGTCAAGATCCCTAAGTAGGTAGAGTGGACGTTTTGCTTTTCATTCCCATGCACTGAACTGAAGGCCATTGAATAGCGGGGCCAACTTGCATGATATAATGTTAG